AGCCTATATAATAATAACACGATTATCGCTCATCGCATTTGACTTTTATGAGCCATCAGCGGTTCAGCAGCGCAAAAAGCAAGATGAAAAAAAAAGCAACATCGAGCGAACAAATGAAATTACATTTAGCAAACCGCAGGCGCCGGCAAGAGCAGTAGCTGTTGTATAAGCGAGGGGTGGATTGGCACCGAAGAGTGGCATTAAAAGACGCCTCGCGGCGTTGAAAATCGATAATCACGCTCACGTATAGCAAAGCCATCTTTTTTTTCTTTTCATATGTACGTGCATATCCAACGTACAAAAAACTACTTGCACCTAAAATTGCGGACAAAAAATAGAAAAAAAAAAATGGCGAGGGGGTGCCGTAACTGCATGTACCACAATTAACTCGATCCACCTTCTGTCCTCGCCTCTTTGACAAATACCACGGGACAATAGCTAGTTGTAAAAGGGTGGTAGCGTACAAGAACGCGCCATTACACTACCACTCTCTCTTTCGAGCAATACTTTCCACACGTACGCGTGAGAGCGCGTGTGTGGGCATACCTATAAAGAATGGATGCGGGTATAAGAGCTATAGCTTGTACGTATATATCTACAACGAGGGTCGAGTATAGGAAGAGGAAAATCGTCGGGCGCGCGAAGGCGTCGAAGTAATGGAGCGCGAGGGAGTGCAATAGCGAGCAGACAGAGAAGGAGAGAGACGCTAAGAGGTGGTTGGGGAACCACCACCGCTGCCGTCCCTGCTTGGAGTAGATGGAGGTAATTGAGAAGAGGAGATTTACTTGGGCGTCGAGTGGTAGTCTCCCATCCTCGTGCAGTAGCGCTTCCTCCCTCGTTCTTCTCCTCCTTCTTGTTCTTGCCACGCCGTATTACCTTTTTTTTTTTTTTTTTTTTTTTTTCATTTCCCCACTGCTCCGTCGACTCTCGTAATTTATTAACTGCGACCGGATTTTACGCCCTCAATTTTATTAATACCCAGTGGAATTAGTTTTCTGCTCGCAAGTTTATTGCGTTGCCTCATTAACGCGGAACGAGTTTTATTTGGCTGATCGTTGGTACGACCAACAGTAGATACAGTCGAGAACGATCAGACGAGAAATTTCGTTGATTCGCCCATGTATTTGTTTTTTTACAACTCACAAAATCATGATGCATTTTTGGTCACGATTGATGGATCAAACAGTCACGTTGACGTATCAAGCCTTGGGTTATTAAAAAACAAATGGGCACCCTTCAAAAGTAACATGGTCAAGAGAAATTAATTTTACTCAGAAGAAAAAGGAGAGAAAAAAATGACTGTGTTACACACGTAAAAAAGAAAGTTTTCTCAGCTCTTTCACTTATTCACTGACATGTAGAGATGAGCGAATAAATTTACCGAGTGGGCGGTTCCTCCTTCTTTCTCTATACACCGCGAGGGCAAAGGGGAGGGAAGAAACCAAAGCGGAGGGGTTTGGTTTATGGGTGTACCGACTGCTCGCGCCCGCCTTGCGTTTACTGCAATATCCACACACTTGCACGTATTATGCACAGTACTACACGCGCCGAGTGTACATTATGTAGCGCGGGTATCGACTTCTAGACGGATGTATCAAGTATACCAACGCAGCTCACTAGTACCGGTATCTGAATACAATATACAGCGCACACATGCAGACACACGGTGTATATACGTATACTCGTACTTATATATAATTCAGGGAGAAACGAGCGTCGAAGCTTACCGTGTAGGGTCAATAGCGAAATCCGAGACGAGCTTGCGCGTGTGTTGTCGGCAGTAGCGCGCTTTTCTCTCCCCCGCCTTCCTCCCCCTCTTTCCCCGGATTGTATACCGCAAACCTATACAATACACACGCCCCCGCACACGCGGATAATATATCTCCGTGCACGTCTGTATACTTTGCTGATGCTCGTCTGGCTGCTTGCAACGCTATACACTAGGCATACACCTATATACTGGCTGCTGCTCGATAACGCGCGCGGCAAATCTGTCTTTTAAGACGGTTTACTCGCACCCTTCTCCAGACTCCCTTCTTTTCTTCGTCGTGCTCGTCCCTCTCCCTATCCGTCTTGGGTTTGCTCGATGCTACCGCTTTTTTTTTTTTTTTTTTTTGCTACTGCTCGACAGACTAATTTAATGCGCTCTCTGTTATTCCTCCGAGGGAGCTTTTTTCTTCATCCAAACGTCAACTGGGACTGGTGTATACATTCATTTACCGCCCTCCTCCCCCTCGAAACATGTTAACGACATCTAAAACTTTCAATATTTACAAAAAAACGCGCGCTCATCCGAGGGGTTGGATTTTTCACTCCAACATCATTTACAATGTTCAACACTTCGAAAATCCCCAAAAGAAGAAGAAGAAGAAGAGAGACCCGAAGCTCATATTTCACGGTATGTACTTCGACGCGCTCTCGATCCGAACGAAATTTGTCATTCCAGCGTCGTGCCGTAGCGCATAGACTCGGAAGTTTGTCGGGTCCTCGGGTCTTCCCTGTCTCCGCCCCCTATCCCGTGACAAATAAGGAAAAGAATAAATCTTCGGTATCCCTCTTTTTACTCGAGGGCGAGAAACTTTGCGATTTGCATGGGCGAGCGCCTGTCTCGCTCCAAATTCGAGTGAACGTCCCAATCTTTTCGCTCTTTCTGAGTAATGCTTGTACATGCATAAATCCAACTCTCTTTCTCTGGACTATTGGAAAATTTTTGGGGTTAACTGGCTACTCTTGTTATGAGCTTAAGTACGACGGGGAGTTTCTAACTTGTATTAACTTTTTTTTTTCAAAAGCTCAAGTCAGAGGGAAAAGCCAAACAAGTAAATTTACGTCAGAGTAAATCTAAAAACTCCAGCTCGTTACGAAAGCGGAGAAAGAGGTGAGAAAAAGGGAGAGAAGGAAAAAAAAAGGGGAAACACCACTTAGCGGCAGCGTTGAGCAGCTGGCTCGTAATTTCCTCGTTCCCTCGGCGGAGCACAAGAAGCGTGAAAAACAAAAATCAAAGGCAAGTTTGTAGCGAAGGCGTGAAAAGGAGAGGCACTTTGCTAACTCCCATAACTCTCGCTTTCTCGAGAAAACCGCCGACTGGATTTCCCGCATAAATACCACGCGACTTCCCGAGCGAGACGCGAGAAGCCAGAGAGACCAAATTCGAGTAAAAGCTCGCCCACCCGAGTACTTAATTAAGTGCGATCAATGTAAACGAGCTCACTGAGGACCGTACTGGCGTGGAAATACTTTACGTTTCATTATCTCCAAAGCAGTCGAGGGATAAATTTAATTGGTATCGGTTTTTTTACCAGCAAGTGCAACTCCACCATGTGAGACAGGTGTATAAGTCCCGTAAAGTACAACCAATACTCGGTTCGAGTCTGTCCACCATTTGTTGTAATGCGTGTGAACCAATAATAGCACGACTTGTGAGTTCGTGTGGTGATACAAAACGTTCATAATCAAATGAAAAATTCTATAACTCCTTGTACCTTATCTGTACTAGTTTTTCTTTTTTTTTTGTTTTTTCTTTCATGTTATTCGAACTGTATGAACGATTGCGATGATTTTACTTTGATACGATTGTTAATATATTTTACCAAACGATAAACTAACAATCGAAGCGTATCAACTAATCGACCCAGCTTTTACGAGATGAGTTTATAATACGGATAATTTAAAGTAACCGCCCAACGTAACAGGGGGGGGGGGAATAAGCGCCAACTAAATGAAAAGGTCTGTGTACGAGCCTGACCTTTGCAACTTAACTGGGGAAGGAGGAAGAGGAAAACGGATGCCGACGAGGCATAAACAAAGCAATCTGTCAACGGCGCAAAAACTGGGGGCTCGTTTTCTCCTTCCTCCTTCACAGCGTCGTCTTATTTCCCATTCCCCGAGAATAAAATCCCGAACTTATTTATAGCTCAAGTTAGCCGCTCGATTTTCCCTCGTTTCGAGCGCTCTTCTCCTCCGGGTAAAAAAAAAAAAAAAACTAAGTAAAAGGAAAAAAAAGAGGGAGGGACGAGGGTGAAGTCAAGGAATAAACCAGCCACCCTCCGCGTCGCATTATTTTCCCTTCGAGACGTGCGTCGCAAGAGAAAAAAGGAATACGAGGAGGGAAGGGAAAGGGAAGCCCATCGTGGGTCTCTCCGCATTAGTAATTCGCAGGCGAGAAGCCGTTTTATTTAATCGGCAACGAGGGAGGAGCCTTTTTTTCACCCCCCACCCTCCCAAGCGAAGCTTGTCTCTCTCTCTCTGTTTCTCCCGAGGGACGCGAATTTACAATATTGGACGAGAGCACGAATCTCGTCTATTCTTCTACTATGCACCTATGCTGCGTAATCGCTCGGAATTGGGAGCTAACGGATACTTAGAAAATTGCATACTCAAAAGTAGGAGGCACGTATACATTAGACTATGTGCTTTGTAAAAAAAAATCCACATGGATGTTATTCCAAAACGCCACATACATGTAAAATTATATGTATACGATATAAATACATAAAATTTGAAGTAGATGTGGCGTTTTTTTCAACAAAATCCATATCTATCCATATAGATTTTTTTTTCTACTAAGGACACCCTGTGTATGAAAAGAAAGAGAGAGATAATGTCTTTATTCGTGCTGGCGACGCAATGCGACATTACGTTGTAGTCTTTATGTAATCATGAGCTAGTGTCTTGTGTGTTGGTACTACACTGTCCTTTTTCTTCTTCTTCTTCTTGTCCCCTTAAGTTAATAAACGCCCAGCTGTAAGCTCGCAATGCCTGTTTTCGTAAGTGAATTAGGTGTAAGCTTCGAGATTGGCTTTTAAAAGCTGACACTGTGTAATATTGTGTCGTTTTGACGTAATAGTGGAGTACTCTATTTTTTTTCCATTTTATTCATATCGTCAAATAAATGCACATAGTACATGGGAATCCAGTATAGTGGAAATACTTTTATTTTGTACTAGTACAATTACCAACAGCAAACAAACTAAATTGCATATAAATTTTTTGTGTTACAGAGGAGCTCAATATCGCCAGCCGAGCGTGAAAAGTACAGTAGGCCGCGCAGCACGCCAGACTCGCAACACCACGACCACATCCATCTAAAGAAGATGAAAAAGGAGCAGGACAAGGACATAAGCCACGTAAGCATTTTGCCATCAGCATCTTTCGATAAAACCATTTTAAATGTCACTGAATGGAATAATCAACGATCCACACCGCGTGTCTGCCAACAGCAGAGCGACGGTGAAAAAAGCGACCAGGACTTGGTTGTGGACGACGCGAGCGAGGACGGCCGAGTGACCAGTCCAGCGGCAAACGGGACGTCGTCACCCCGGGAGAACGGCCTCGACAAATTGGGTCCCTCGTCCGTGTCCCTAGGCGGCCAGGTGAAAAAGGAAGTGCCACCCCCATCGCCTCGCAGCGGTACCAGCAGCAACGCGAGCACCCCCTCGGCCAAAAAGATGGAGGACCGCGAGAAGCCCACCACACCGATCTCCAAGCCCGTCACCCCAACCTCCGCCGGTGAGTTTGACACCACCTTCCTCTTTCTCGATAAATTTATATCTTGTGAACTAACACCACCCCCTCCCCCCAATTCTGAACTAATCAACAGGAGGCAGCAGTTCGGGTTCAAGTGGCTTGAAGTCCTCGAGCTCGAGCAAGCCGCTGGTCTCGGCAGCAGCGATCGGCCCCTACCCGCCTCATTATCCGCCACCCCATCACCCTCCGGCCGGACCACACGTTGACATGCTCGGCTACCCGACTGCCGCTCTAAATGGCTACCCGGCTCGACCGCCCCTCCAGCAGCTCTACGACCATCACGGCAACATGAGGGCGCCCCTCGGACCGCTCGCCGTTCCTGGAGGCAAACCGTAAGTGACCAGCCATTGTCATTGTTCATTTATTTACGACAAAAAAAAGGCCATCAGTGGTTGAGTTGGCGGGGTTTCACGGCGACATCATGAAATAAAAATAAAAAAGGGAAGACGTGTCTTTTTTTTGTGCCACAGGGGTTCTTTTCTACAACACGTTTTGTCTTTCCAGAGCTTACAGCTTCCACGTGTCGAGCGAAGGGCAAATGCAGCCGGTGCCCTTTCCGCCGGATGCCCTGATCGGGCCGGGCATACCGCGCCACGCGCGCCAACTGAACACCCTGACCCACGGCGAGGTCGTGTGCGCCGTGACCATCTCGAACCCCACCAAGTACGTGTACACGGGTGGCAAGGGCTGCGTCAAGGTCTGGGACATCAGCCAGGCGGGCAGCAGCCAAGCCAAGCCCGTCTCGCAGCTCGACTGCCTCCAGCGCGACAACTACATCCGCTCGGTCAAATTACTGCCCGACGGCCGTACCCTCATAGTCGGTGGCGAGGCCAGTAATCTTAGCATCTGGGACCTGGCCAGCCCAACCCCGAGGATCAAGGCCGAGCTAACGTCCTCCGCACCGGCTTGCTATGCCCTGGCCATTTCTCCAGACTCGAAGGTCTGCTTCAGTTGCTGCAGCGACGGGAACATCGCGGTCTGGGACCTGCACAACCAGACCCTGGTCAGGCAGTTCCAGGGACACACGGACGGCGCCTCGTGCATCGACATATCCGCGGATGGCTCCAAACTTTGGACGGGAGGCCTCGACAACACGGTCAGGTCTTGGGACCTGAGGGAGGGCAGGCAGCTCCAACAGCACGATTTTTCGTCCCAGATCTTTTCCCTGGGCTATTGTCCGTCGGGCGAGTGGTTGGCCGTGGGTATGGAGAACTCGAACGTGGAGGTCCTCCACGCCAGCAAGCCCGACAAGTACCAGCTCCACCTGCACGAGTCCTGCGTGCTCTCGTTGAGATTCGCCTCGTGCGGCAAGTGGTTCGTCTCGACCGGCAAGGACAACTTGCTCAACGCCTGGCGCACGCCTTACGGTGCTTCGATATTCCAGGTGAGCACTCGTTTATCCGTTCAAGGTACAACGCTTTTATGCATCAAAGTAATAATAATTTCATGTTTTGTTGCAGTCCAAGGAGTCCTCGTCGGTGCTTAGCTGTGACATTTCGACGGACGACAAGTACATCGTCACGGGATCCGGGGACAAGAAGGCCACCGTCTACGAAGTGATATACTGAAGCGCCGACGCGTTTGTTCATATATAAATAAAACTTAGAAAAGCTAAGCTTGTTAAGATATTTATCAAGAGGCATTGTGCGCAAGAACGAGGCCACGGAAAACAAATGTCTCGAGTACCAAACTTTTATGCTAAAATATCAGCGGTGCTAAGGAGGAAGACGCCGTCGATGATGCCATGTTTCACGGGGAGGGTTGTACGATGATATCGATAAGGGGAATTGCGTTTTGAAGATATTTTTTCTAGTACAGCAGTGAACTTTCGTTTCTAGAGCTCATATTTTTACTGATTTCAATCGTTAACTTTTTTTTTTACAATTCACTTTGTTCATCAATACTTAAAAAAATGTGTGGATGAAATTCTCAACATTTTTCAACGTAGCCATCGTTTGAGACCAGCAGCTCGAATTAGTTTTTATTTTTCCAAAAGATCGTAGGCATTTAGTTATTTAATATTGTATAAAAATAATAAACTTATGTACTTGTGTAAGTAGAAAGTGTGCATGAGATGTGATAATGTGATACAGAGAGCGAGAAAGTGGGTAAGCGACTGGGTTTGTCAAAGAGAAATTTGTTTCTTTCGGCAGTTTTCGTGTCGCAACCGAAACACATGAATATATTGACTTTGTAATATAGATTCAATTAATTTTTAGCTGCGATTGTGCGAATTGAAAAAAAAAATAAAAATAAAAGTGTGCACGATGATATTGCGCGCGAGTGTGTATATTAATTATAAATGTGACAAACACATTTTTGCTGATATATATGCCTGCGTGCAGTAGTGAGAAATAGACAGACGACGTACGATCACGAAAAAATAGAAAACAAAAACAAAAATAAAAAAATACAAAAAACGAAAAGCTCGCCTGCAAGCAGTGAAAGTCGCATCGCTTCTAAATTATTCGTATATATATATAAATATGTGTATGTATGTAGGCCATTGCGATACGAATTACACCGCAAGGGTTTGAAAATAATTAAGTATATAGGGGGCAGCTGAGAGATAACGTGAAAGTAATCTTTAAGTAAGTGCATAAAGCTACGGTGCGTTTACAATTTCTTACGTCATGGTGATTAAAAAAAAAAATAATAATAATAACAATAAATACAACAAATGAAGTTTAAGAAAAAAAAAAAAAAAAAGGAAAAAAGTACTACGATCATAAATCAACGATAGAGTATTCGCCGCACGACATCGACGATTCCTTGATGTATCTCAATGCAGCGGCTGTGCACGGGGATATATATATATGCACACGTATACATACGTTCACCCAAACACACACGTACACAAACACTCACACATACTCAAGAATACAATATGTTGATGATGTACTTGATGAAAGAAATAAATGAGGAAAAAAAAATTAAAAAATCATGTAACGTCACTCACTGCGAGGTATTGGGCGAAATATTTTTGTGACTGGTCGTCGTGTAACGGCTCATTTGAGGCAAAACAAGGCTTGTATGCAAAGAAAAATATAATTTAGTAAAACTAAATCAATGATCCCAAATCAGAATCCATTAAAAAAAAAAAAAAATTGTCGTTTACCTCGATAAAGCAAAAAGACCTTGAAGTGCCTCAAATCGAGCCAAAGGGCCTCTTATAAGATAGCGCAATATTGTTCGAAGCCAGCTGTGAGTCAGAACATTATGCAGATGAATTTATATTTTGTTACAGGAAGACATACCCACATACATTAACGTGAAAAATTATTAATCGCAAAAAAGGCTGTGATTGTCTCAAAGCCCCTGCCTTACTTTATTGACTATTAATAAAAATGGATTGTTTATTTACTGAAAACATATATACATACTTACCGATGATGGTAAACATCAAAGAGCTTATTTAAAGTGATGTGCGTGGGTGACTTTTAAACGAACGAATAAATGAACACAAAACAAAAGACGAGTGGCTTTGGACGATCACAGCCTCCGATGAATAGACCAATAGATGAAAAACGACTATTATACTTCAACAAGACTCAATAGATTTTATTAACCACTAATGAAACAACTGTACAAATCGATATTCTTTTACAGTATAAAACAGGGGATTAAAGTAAATAATAATTGCAAGAAAAAAAAAAAAAAAAAAAAAAAAAAAAAAAAAAAAAAAAAAAAAAAGTATATACAAAACTGACCGGTGAATAGGGGTATGAATGCAGCATCCATAAATCTACGAAACGATTATCGTTATTATTATGATTGTAGACTCACTCTGAACCGCATCTTTTTAATTGTCACCTATACAATAATACTACAAAAAAAAAATCCTTTGTGTTATTTCGTATACAATTTAAGCTGTATCATTGTAACATCCTTTTATAATTAGCGTGGCAAATTGAACTGTTTTTAAACACCTTGTCCCTATACCGTAGAGCGATTCTCGAAGCTGTTTTTTCGTTCATTTGATTTTTTTAGTAAAAAAAAGAAAAAAAAAAAAAATCATTTTCCAAGCACACTGTCCATGTTGTTCCTATAGTTACGCGAAAATTGTTTTCTTTTTGGCAATTAAATTGTATACATGTACGTATGCATAGATGTGTCGGCTTACTCATTTATGTATATGTGGATGTATGATCGTACATATATATAAATATATATATAAAATTTATACAGTCTTATTTCTTTGACTCTCCAACATTCTCGATTAATATCCAATCCTTCCTCTCATTCATATCATAATAAATGAATAAATAAATGCATAAGTATATTCTGAGCTACTACAATCAATTACAATCAATCACATATTAATATCTCAGGAAATAATTTATTATAGATTATTTTTTATTTTTTACTTATGTGAATGAATCCTAAGCACATGATTTTCTTATACTCATTTAAGCGATCAAAATTACCTGCCAATTCAACAAATAATTCATTTGATTTTAAAATAATCCATGAATAAAGACGTTAGTACAACAGAGCGCATTTACCCACGAAAGAAGAATGTGGGAATTCAAAATTTCCCGCCACTAAGATACACCGCGATAGGTGCTGCTGTCTACAGCGGGTCTCCGAAACCACGTGCCAACACACACCACACACACCGCCATATTGATAGCGTCCTCGGATCGAACATGGCGATTGACGGCTCCGGTTCTTCGTGACCCTGTCAGTTTCGTCTCGATTTTTACACGTGTTCAGCGATTTGACGACGTTTTTATTATAAACATTGGCCAGCTTGACATAAAACATCGCCAAAATGAACATGTCAGTGGAGAAGAAGAAGTACCCGACGTCTGCCTTGCCACAAAACTGGTCGACGCGCGACGAGCAGCAACACTTGCCACGCAAAAATCAACCACAATTACCGTCCTCGGGAAAAGTGGATGTGTTTTATTACAGGTAATAACTAAACAAAATGTGTATAATGCATTTTTTACAATGTAAACAATCATGTTTACAAGTGTGACAAGTTTGTGGTGTTGTTGGCTGGTGATGTTTACAAACATCAATTGTTAGCTATAAAAATTGATGAATTATATTTAATACACAAATCAGATGATTGACTAAACACTAATCATAAATAAATTTTTAGTCGAGGGGTCAGAAATGATGCTTCACTTGTTCCTCCCATCAGACAGACAGCATCAATTTTCAAACAGCCAGTGACAATATACAAAATATTGGATGGAAAAGTGAAAGAAATAAAACATGGGAACCAAGAAAAACCAAAGCAGGTAAGAGACAGACATGTGTATTAAAAATTTTTTAGAAGAACAACAAAAGATACTAGTCAATCATATGAACGTTATATGCTTATGTTACGTCAAAAAATTTAAGATTCCATTTAGAATTATACTTCCATTGAGTAACTAGTTATTTTATTTTTTCAACATTTTGTAAATACATCAATATCTTTTTTGTCATTCATAAGATACATTGTTAATAAGAAGAAAACGATAATTTTTTTATAAAGATCCTTTTTACTCATGTTTCTTTCTTTTTACATATGATTTTGTTTTATGCACGAATTCATCATTTATTTAGGAAGGTGCCAATAGAATAGAGAGCAAATACAATTCCAAAGAAAAGCCTAAACAGGTAATTCTACGTATTCAATACATACCACCATAACAACTAACAATTTAATCATCAACTAACAGCAGTACACTAATTATTTTGAAGTTTTTATTCCAAATCTGTTAATTTGTTAACATTCTTTTTTTATTTGCAGCTTTTTTGGGAAAAGCGACTGGAGGGTTTGCGAGCATGTGACCCAGACGGCTATGAATTGAGTGGGATGGATCTGCCAAAGATAACAAAACCAGTAGGGCCCTACATACGTGATGAGACAGTGTTACAGAGTATCGCAACGGCTTTGCACGTGTCAACACAACCAGTCACTGGACAAACTGGATCGAAAACAGCTCTCGAAAAGAACCCCGGTGTCTTTTTGAACCCTGAACAGCCACTTGTTCAGGTAATTCATTTATTTTTTGTACTAAATAAGTTAGGGGCAAATAGTAAGTAGAATTTAACAATTACAATTCTTGGAGCATTTTTTTTTTTTTTTTTACTTTGATTTATAACAAGTTACTGAGATTTCTACAATCAGTACTAAAAATCAGAAATAGAAAGACAAATTGTTTACTTGTGAATACATTTTTTTAGGCCGTGACAATTACGGATGATGACATCAAGCGACAAGAAGAACGAGTTATTGCAGCTAGAAAAAAACTGCAAGAAGTGATACGTGCAACATATGCATCGATTTAACTTATTTGGTTGCTGTTCATTTAACTAGATACTACCGATATTTCGATATACATACTTTTATTAACTAGACGTTAAGCGCGCAAGTGTAAGTAAATTCACCGATTTTATAATAAACTTTTTTTTTTACCGAAAAAACTTCGAATGCACGCAGTTTTTTTATAAACTATTGTATTCAGCTCTCACATTTAAGCACACATAATTGTATAAAATATTAAATGTAAATGTTTTGTGAGATTAGCAGTATGATAAATGTACATAGTATTAAGATTCCGATTTAGGGAGTAATAAAATATCTATTGCGAGGTTCACGAGGATGAATATCATTCGTACGCTTGCAAAGACTGAAAATACAAAACTATATGTATTTATAAACGCGGGATTCCTTATTATTGATACATGTAAATGATAAAAGACGTATCGGTTGAAATGTGTATTTTACTTTAACACGAAAAATGTGATCAATGACTGTTGGATCTTTGCGAGATTATTGTGTTCGTTTCAATAAACATTTGTACATAGAAATATTTGCGTATTGATTTTCAACATAACTTTCACAAACCCAGATTATGAAAAAGTGTTTACGTGGGTCTTTAATATAAATATTTTTAAATTTTTCAATTGATAACACTAGAATATAACTTAATTAATTATATGATACTAGTATATCTCTCTTCAGTGAATGCAACACTGTTACATACCCACGAGTAGGGACCACAAAGCAAAGTGCCCAATCTGTGAAACATTATGTTTTAAAGTTATAAATTTTTGATGTCATCTCTTTCAATGGATTTTTTGACCTTATGTCCAGGTGGTAATTTATTATTGCCACATACTTCTTAAAACACAAAATAAATTTCAGCGTTGGTTTTTCCGAATTTCATAAAGCTAAAAACCCGATCTGACACAATCGATCGCAGCAGACCGACTAATTAGTATGCCCAAAGGAACGGGGAGGGGCGCCAATCGAAAGAGCCGGCTTCACGCCACGCAGCTGTCAGTCGTACGACTTTGGCGCATTCGTAGAGTTTTTTTTGTAAAAGCATCAATCTCGTTACGTTGTAGCCACACACCTCTCGTGCACACGACAGCTGCTCGCTATTTACACAATATACATAATGCGTCTGTATATACTTATGTACAAGCAGAGAGAAGCTAAAGAGTCTCGCGAGCTACACTTTATACATATATATATACACTGGTCGAGTAAGTAGATATATAGACCTTGAAGGAAATGCGTGCAGGAAAAAGAGCGTGTGTATGTATGTGTACGGGTAAGGTACGAAAATATGTGTGGGGTCAGAAACGAGGGGAGCGCGAAAGGGAAACGACAAATGTATTTCAAGTTAGCCAGCCAGAACATAGTACATTTGTGTACTTGTATGGTGTTGGAGATATACTTCATTCGATGGGCATTCCTTCTTATACAGCGATTTTATATTTATTGTCAATTGTATTTGACGTTTTTTTAATTTAGACAACTATTTATTGAAAACACGTGCTTTTGCATTTGTTTCTGAATGTGGAATGTTTCTCAATAAATATTTGGAAAAATCACTTTCACTTTAAGACCGTTTCATTGTCCAGTGACTCACGGGAAAATTTTATTAGCACCAGAGATAAGAAAAGATTAAGTGCGGATCTCTTCTTTCCAGCATATTTTCGTTCGTCTCTCTGGGTAATTATCAAAACCGCTGTTTTTCCAAATAAGCTGTAAAATGTATAAGCCTATGTACTATGAGTAAAATAATATGTCACCGGCATCATGCATTTATTACTGGTAAATAGGTACTTGAAACGCTCGAATCACACACAAGTAGATATATATATATTATATACCCTCTATTTAAGATGACAGAAAATATCGTTTTTGAACTAAAAATCATAATTACAAAATTCTTCAACGATCGACTTTAAGCTAAAAACACGAGATGACTCGTTTGAAAATATCAAAACTCTACAACAAAACGATAGTTACAATTTGATAGCAGATAACTCCAACACGCTAATCAAACAGTATAACATATTATGAAAACCAAAGAGCCAATAACTTCTCGTCGCACGCGCCAACTAACTCCTCTCGCCAACTGCGACGCCCAATGTTTTCTCACCACCTAAAGGTAAAATCCGCGATTTGCATGAAAATCAAACTGATTTGCAAGTCTCACCCCTTTCTAAGAGAAAAAAAAATCTTCGTACGCAATACATGTACGAGGCAAAAAGAGAAAAGAAAAAAAAATGTCAAAGAGGAGAGAGCGAGAGGGAAGCTTTGTGTTGCGAGCAAAGGAAAGAAAGGAGAAACAGGATCAACTCGAGGGCGCAATAGATTTTCTGAATATACGTTACAATCTTACAGACAGAAGGTATGGAAAAAGAGAAGTGAGGATTATAAACGTATGAAGTGTAACTCGAGTGTATATATTTTATAAAAAGAGACGCGAGAAGCCGACGAGGTGGTATATCTTACGTGATTCATAAAAATCACCATCGCCTTATTCACGTGCACATATGTATGTTATATACGTATGATGTAGGTTTAGAGAAAAATCTGACGAATAAAACGCGTATACATGTAGAGTGACAAGTTTGTGGTAGTAAAACGAGGTACACAATACGGAAGACACATCGTATGGTGTCTTTTGAAAGGTATGATTCCCAAAAGAGTTCGTCGCACACGGCGGGAGCATCATGTGAGCAGCACCAGCTCTGCTTTTCGAAAACTTCGGTGCTCCATCCCCTGCATGAGGTACCGATACGTGCAACACATAGCAACAGCACACCAGTCATCCAGGTATATCGTGAATATAGGCACCTTATATATATACACCACCAGTAAAAAGTAGCAGCAGAAGCGGTGGTGGTTGGCATTACAAAAGAACCGAGGCGTTCGAGGTCTGAAACTCAGCCCCTTGTACATATATATATATAGGCGCTATGTATGGAGAAAGGGAGGAACTCAGGCAGCAGCAGTGAAGCGTACTTGGACGGTTTCAGGTATAACTGAACGGGATCGGTCTAAGTATGTATACATACGAGGGGTTCTACAAAAAAAATAATCCATCGCAGAGTTCTAAAGGAAATTTAGCTCGAGTTTTTTCGTTCGCCTTTTGGAACTAGTCTCGTACGATGAAATTAAAACAACTTTCCACTATTTTTCTGTTTTTTTTTTTTTTTTTTTCTTTTTTCAATTTATCACATTAAACTATATGTGGAAGCAATTAACGATTACAGAAATTTTACTGGAAATGGAAGAAAAATTTTACTTCAGTCGATTTTAGATTTTTTTTAGAAGTACCCAGTAAAACATCATCAAGTGAGCTTTTTATGCGATTTATGTATTATTTTTAGAGAGAAAAAGTAACCTCAAGGACAAAAATTATGAATTATATGTCAAATTTCATCTGATTTGGTCAACTTTAACGAAAACTCAAACGACAAATTTTAGTGACATGTAGCACTTTTGACCTACAGACGTTTCAGTTAAAAGCTCATCTCGCATGCATTATGATCTCCAAGCAGCATCTAATAAACAACATTGCAACGAAAGATGGCATTTAAAAAAAAAAATTTCCTACCATTTACCAGCTAATTTATAGCATACTTTTATGGTAATAAGCAATATACAACGTACATTTTTTTGTGTGATTACTCGCGTACGCCAGCCCTACCAAGATACATGTTTAATATGTTATATATATTCACGTGAAATGCGTATATACGGACTATACGGGGTCTCTCTTGTCTCTCACCTCTGCGCCAGGTGGTAACCTCTTTTTTTTCCGTCCCTCTCTCCGCTTCTTCTTCCCTCAATGCCTGCCACCCTCTTGTCTTCGCACACACGCACACATACGTACAAATGATTCCCGAGCCCTGGGGTCGTGTTGGCCAACAGCTGTTTCCCTCCTCGAGTATACATGCACAGAGAAAAGAACTGCTGGCTGGCTTTGGGCCCCCATTGTCAACCCGACGCGATCTTTCTTCCTCGCTCCCCTTGTGATGCTTGTACATATCTATACACTTACTTGTATTTTTAATGTCCCGTGATGAGAGGCGCACGCGACGACGTTTGAGAAATGCATGGCCCCATGGCTTAAGCTTATAATATATATAATATGTACTAAAAGGGCTCCGAAAAGAAAGCGGGATATATACACATTATTTTCGTGATGGCAATTTTTTCGAGTGCCACGCACCTTTCCTCCTTTTTTTTCATCCCTCTTCCTCCGCAACGTTCCCTCGATCTCGATCTCGTTGTTCCTGTGGTTTTTTCCTTCTCAGTTTCCGAAAGTGAGCGGCTGCCAGAGGGCTGGGAAAGAAGCCAAAGGATCGAGGCTTATCTCTCTCTTTCTCTCTCGTTTGTAACTGCAGAGGCAGAGAACAAGCCACGCATGGCTTCCCCAAATGCAAGAGGAAGCTCCTGCAATTAGGCAGTTTTACGCTACGCTCGGTCATGATGGATATTCATAATCATTTTTTGAATAAATCAATTTGATTTCTTCTTTTGCCTACGATTTGGAGGGTATACAGACGCACGTTGTTATAAAATTTAAAAATAACAAGACCGCGAAAGCCATCCAATCGATTTTTATCGTATCTACATACGCTGGTTGTGAAAGCTATGCAATATTGTACGACCATATGTTTCACGAGACCACTCTGAATTAATTAAATTCACCTTACACGTCAAATCGTATTACCATATAAAAAAAGAGGGAAGAATATAGGACAACGGAGTTATAGTAATCACCAGTCGCCTTAATTAATTTTGTCTTTTCCACCCCAAAGGCTGTCCGATGTAAAGGGCACCTCCTTAAATTCTAATGTTCTAATATACGTTTTACTCCATACAAGAGTGAATTTCCACGCGGCGTACAGGTAATCCACGCCCGAATGGGCATATTGCCACCCCATATACGTAGGGTCGCACACACTCACGCGCGCACGTACAAAAGTGCAAGCTCGGCTCGGTGAAAGGGAGAACCGTTTCGTAATCGAAATAAAAACCTTCCCCCCTGGAAAAAAAAGGAACGGTACCAGTGCACGCATTGTACGTGTGCGTGTGCACCGTAAAACTCACCCTCTTTCGCAACGAACGTTACGATACGTGTGCACGAGGCGCTGATGGGGGATGTATGGCCTAGGGGTGAAGAGGCGGTCGTGACGCCATGTACGCTTTTAAATCTCCGCGGCTGCGCCTTGTATTTGCGCGGGAGAGCGTAAAAAGTGTTCACGTGCGTGTATATATATATACACGCGTCTTTTACATACACACGTGTTTTGCGTACATCGGATATTATGGAGAATCGAGGGAGTATTACTTTTTTTTTTTCTTTTTTTTTTTTTTTTTTTTTGTATTTTTCCATTCCCAGTCGTCGGCTTTTATATTTCGTTTTTACGTATATAGACGTCGCGCTGCGTATTCGTACATGCGCCTATA